AAAAAAAAAAAAAAAAAAAAGAACTGAAGCTGGGAGTGGAGGGACCATGGGCGCTGCTGGTATTCGCTGCCATGTCCATTTCTCCCGTCTGAGGGGCACAGGAGGCCACCGGCCGCTCTCCCTCCACATGGGACTGTCTTCCTGCTCCTTTGCCCACTGAGGGCCTCCCCGACCCTAGGCCCCTCTGCTCCCGCTCACGATGGGCTGCAGGGTGTGTGCTACCTAACTGCCTGCCCTTCTCATTTTAAGGCAGGACGCAGAACGCAGGCTGTGTTTCCCTGGTTTACTGTCGCGGCTCGGGCATCTGGCGAGGTCTCTGAGTTACCCCACAGAAGAGGCTTTTCCAGGTTCCTAGCTATTCCCTCTCCACAGGCCCTGCCTCCATCTGTTCTATTAAAAGGCAGTGCTGCTGGGGAGCGGGTATCAGCCCCGGGTAAGGTGCTGGCCAGCCGTCTGCACAGCCTGAGTCCACAGGCACTGGTGGGTGGCGGCAGAAAGGAGGTACTGCTATCTGTTTAAGAAGTACGGCTTGAGGACCGTGCACGAACACCAATGGAAAGGTAACTTTCTTTATGTGCAGGAATACAATTTCTAAAGAGAGACAGGACCGCCCTGCTAACAAAGGAAGAGAAAGAACAGCAGAGTGCTGAGCATTAAAGCCCAACTGACCCCATCGTCCTGGGATCGAGACTGCTGGGCAGGCGCCGTCTGACAAAAATATCGCTTAGTGTCACAAATGCAAGTCATATGTGTCATTTTAAATTTTCAGGAGCCACATGAAAAAAGTAAAAAGTAAAAAGAAAAGGTAAAACTTTAGTTATATATTGAACCCACTGTATCTACATTACCGTTTTAACATGCAATTGCGCAAGAAACCACCGACGAAAACCCACATGCTTTCCCCCGGTTTGACCCCCGTGCGTGTGTCACACTCACACCGCAAGTGCTGCAAGCCACGTGTGGCCTTGGCACGCACTGGACAGCACGGGTCTAGAAAGCAGCCTGAAACAAGCCTCAAGGAAGGCGGCTTCTCGGCAGCGTCTCTTGATCAAAAACATTTATTTTTTACTCTACTGAATGTAAGAAATTCTAAAATACCCTGTGACACAAACTCAATACATCAAAGCAAAACTTAGCACTCTCTGCCGTCTCCCAAGCAAGCAGCTCGTTCCGGCCTCCTGGTTCAACACCCTTTTCCATGCCCGGTTCAAATCCCACAGCAACTTTAACGCTGCACTGACCTCCAGCACTTTTACCTACGCCCTCCACCAAATTACGGGATACGTTTCCTCAGAGTTCCTCCTTGGTTCTCAATGAAATAAACCCAATCTGAGCCCTACCGGAAGAGTCACTTGCACTTCACGCGCCACACGAGTGGTTCTGTGCCCCGGGCCTTGCTGTCTGTTCGCTGCTCAGCGAGTGTCAGTGCCGCCTGTGCCGGGCACAGCTGCAGGTTGGGGCTCACAGGGAGCAGGGGAGACCGAGTCTCACGGAAGAGGCTCCGACGGCGCCGTGGAGCTAACACGGCTGGGCAGAAGCACCAAGAGCGAGGACCAGAGGCTGATGGAGGGGCTACGTGAGAGAAGGCAGTCAAGATCGCTCTGAGCACAGCATTTAACAAAATAATAAAAGCCACGCCGCTCTGTACAGGAAGCGTGTTCCACATGGAGGGGCTGCGTGGGCCAGGGTGTGCAGGCAGCGTCGGCTCGCGTGTGTGCTGCAAGACCTGCAGGTGGCTGAGGAAAGGGAGGGACAGGGTAGTAGAAGATGATGCTCCTGAGGGCCCAGGGGTCCCGGAGGAGTGGGGACTGGATTCTGTGTGACGGAGGCGCGGGAGGGCTTGAGGCCTGCGCGTAAGTCACATAAGCGTCACTCCGGCCGCTTAGAAAATCTCCTGCAGGCGAGCAAGAGCAGCAGCAGAGAGCCCGGCGCGAGGTGAGAGCTGCTGCGCGGGAGAAACACAGGCCCTGGACCCACCGTGGGAAGCGGGCAGGTCCCGGGTGATCCCGAGGCCGCCTGGTAGGGGTGCTGTGGACGGGCTGTGCTGTGTGCATGCTCGAGCGGCGCTGCCAACGGCAGCACCCAGGGGGAGGAGTCTGAGAGTGGGGAATCTGGATGCTTTGTGACAAGACATCTCCATTCCAACAGCGGCCGCACGGGCTTTCCAAACCTACAGTCCAGTGAGCGACTCCCTTCTCCACAGACCTCTAACAGAATCGCGCTCAGTGAGCACCACAGGTTTTCACACACCTTGTCCCCAAACTGCTCCCCACTTGCGTGTTCTCTCATTACTGCATTCCTCACGGTGCCTGGGAAACGAGAATGCAGGTTTAATGACATGTTTGTGAACAATATTTTCTCTTTCTCTTGCTCTGTGTTCACCCTGTGCAAAGCTGGGCCATCCCAGGACCTCTCCCGCCATCACGGCGGCTGTATCACTTTCTCCAAACTCCCAGATAGCAGCGTGCTGCTCGCAACATCCTAGCCACGCATGGTGATGCACATCTCGACTCCTAGTATTCAGGAGGCCAAGGCTGGAGAACTGCAAGTTCAAGCCCTGCCAGGGCAACTTAGCAAATCCTGCCTCAAAATAAAAAATATAGGGGCTGGGGATGTAGCTCAGTGCCAAGGTGCTGGATTCCATGGGGGGTGGGGGGGGCACACTGTGGTTTGTAGCATTTGCTGGTATCTGTGGGGTACATTATAACAAACATAGGTCACAGTGGCCACAGGATAATGTCCCTGAGTGTGCAGCTGGGAAGAGGTAAGTACAACTGAGGATGCCACCCTTCCCACACTGCCCCCTTAGTGCCAGCTGCCTGGGCCACCCAGTCACTGGCTGCATTGTGACTTTTACCGGAAGCACCTATACACAAATCTTCCCACTAGACAGCAAATTTGTGAAGTGTCAGAGCTGTGTCCCATAACCTGCCCATAAACACTGGGCCTTCACAGCTCACGTCTACAGACAGAGCATCAAACCCCAAACACAGACCTCACAGCTGCACTCTGAGAGACCTGTGTCCCCTAACTTCTCAGTCCACTGCTCTGCAGGAGGCTGAATACATAAATTACCACACTGGATCCAAAATAAAAGCTGCCTTTCAAAGAGGGAAGTAAGGGAATATGTGATATCACTTTAAGAACAAAAATAGAAAATACGATTATAGGAAATACCACATGGACGCTTTTCTTTAGACAGAATCGAGCAACAAGAATGTAGCTCTTTTGCTTCAAAGAACTCATGTGCATGCACTGCCCGGCCCAGGAAGGCAGCCAGCTTTGGACTAGAAGCGTAACCACTGGGCAGAAAAGGAGGACGCAAGGAAGTAACAGGAAACTAAAGTAGATGGAGCTGACTCTAAGTTGAAGCACAGGGTGACAGTAACAGCTTTTGAAAAATTCCGTAACACAGAAACATCAGAGTCATGGAAACTGAACATCCTATGCTTTCCTATGCTCCACCTTAGGCGGGCAGGCCATGAGGGTGCGTGCGAAGCAGATTTAACTCTCCGAGTTTAAGTTCACAGGAAAGACAAGTAACTTCATTTCTTTTTGGCTCTAAGCAGGATGTAATACAGGCACAAAACAGTCCGGGCTCGGTTCAGTCACGCTCACAGACACACCCAGTCGCTCCCTTTCAGCGTGACTTAAGTCACAGTGAAACAGCAGGCACAGACTGTCAGGCCCCAAGCATCTTCAAAGACACTGCCCGTGTGCACCCATCTTACTACATTGAACATGACCATGAAGAGAATGTTAATAGGGATTTCCAGCTTTCTAGCCAATCCTGTACTTGCTTATCAGCTGGTGACTCATGAGTCAATTCTATTTAATTACTGGTTTAGCAGGAAGATGCTAAGAATTCATAAACTTGAAGATTGTGTAAGGGAGTGATTATGTGCACACTCTTTGAACTGTGGTTATAAATGTTCTGGAAAGAAGAGAGGCTCTGTTCACAGGAAACTCCCTCCAAGAGGTGCCGAGCGTCAGCCCACTGGTGAGGAGGAAGGAGATTGCTCACTTTGGGAACGCAGCTTGAGGCAACCTGGACACACTGAATAAATGTTACCTACTGTTGCCCAAATCACACCAAAGGACTTCAGAAAAAAGATTAAGAATTTTTGAAAAGTATCTAAATTTCCCTTTCAAGATCTCTAATGTGTTCAGTTCAAATATTAATAAAAAATTATACATTTACTTCAGTATTTAGGACTATATATACAAGTATTTAGTGCAATGTTTCATACGTTTGTGAATGACTCCTTGATTTTACCCAACTTTAAAAATTTGAAGACTGCCTTATGAAAAGTAACGAAATACAGTGCACTAGCGCAGTGCGTTACAGCACCTCAGGAAGGCCGTCCCTCCGCTCAGACCGTGAAGTACCTGGTCCAGGAGGTCCTCCACTTTCCTCTGCCATGAGTCCCTGGCAGCGTTTTTCTCTCGCTCTTTCAGCTGCAGCAGCTGAGACATCGCTGACTTCTTATCCTCTTCATGCTGAAGCCGTAACTCTTCTCGGAGTTTACAGCACTCCTGTCTATAGGGAAACACAGGCACTTACTTGTGAAGAGAATGAGCCCTTAGGTAATGGGTGAGAGTCACACACAGGGTCTCCAAATGCTTTATTAATCTTCCTCCAAAGTCTGTGACTCAGAATATGAGCAGATTATTTGACAGTTAGGAGCTAATAAGTAAACTAGTCATTTACCCAAATTCACTCTTATCAATTCAACAATGGTTTAAAAAAAAAAAAAGGTAGGAGAGTAAGTCTTTCAACTTCAGGTTAGTTCTGTGCCTATTTTGTATTCAACACAATCAAATCAGAAAAACGTAAATCTCAATTGAAACAGAAAAAAAAAATCTAAGATCTCTGCATCAAATCATGGGGAAAATTTACTGAAAACACTGTTACCGTGGGCCATACAGCAGAAAACTTCTGCACACCCGTATCAGCAAGGCCACCTCGCAGGCAAAAGCTGTACCTCAGATTCTCAGTCCACTTTATCTCTAAGTCGTGGGCCATTCTGTCCACTCTGAGCTTCTCCTCTTCCTTCATGGCAGCAAGTGTCTCTTCGTGCTGGTGCCGCTCTCGTTCCAGCTCAGCCTAAGGAACGAACACCTTTCCATGAGGACTCGGGTTGGAAAGCAAAGATACTGCCGCTTATTTCAGGCAACGGCATGCTTGCGTTACAGACTCTCACACCACAGTAACTGATGTGCTAGCGATGATAACTGCTCAAGATCTGCAGATGATAAATGCACAGAATCCATGTGTATTTTAAACACCCTTGTCTAAGCTATGAGCTACGATCAAAAAATAGTGAACATTTAAATTTTAAAAATAAATAAACAGTAAAAGACATGTTACCATTAGCCCTCCTCAAAATAGCACCCCTTGCTCGGAACACTTAATTCATCATTCTTGCTACTTTACAAAGCAGCTCTGGAGTTCTTGCACGAGTGCTGTGGGGAGTGGCTGAGCTGTGGCTGAGCTGGAGGCTGGCAGACTCCTCGGGCTAGTGCAGGCCAGCCCCGAGAACATGGAACACCAGAGGCGAGCCAAGTTGTTGGCACCAGAGCAAAGCCAGCCCAGCAGGTGTCTGGTCTTGGTGTTCCTCCCTGTTAACTACAGCAGAGACAGCTCCGTGTTCCGCTTTCAGTGTTCTCAGCAAAACAGAGACTTCTACTTTCGGTCCTGTTGTGTGCTTCCTCCCCTCCCCACCCTTTTACTGTGTATAGATAAAGACAGTGTTAGGTTGAAGCTGCCTCTCCATTAGAGAGGTCAGGTCCCACCTGGTCTCAGCTTCCCTTTTATGTGCTTTGTTTCTTCTTAATCTCCTGCTGCCCCTTCTCAGGACCCCACTCCCTGTGCAGGTCTCAGCAGAGGGTCTGCTGTTGTGTTGTCTTGGCTGCCTCAATGTCCTGAATCGAGTCAAAACATTCATTCACATGATCATTTAGACTCTGGGGAAGGGCCAGGAGTTGCACGGTCAGGGTGAGTAGGGCAGGTGAGAACAGACTGCGATGTTTTATGAGCGTGCCTTTCTGTCTGATGGCACTCAGAAGCAGTATTCACCAAGTGGTTGATCACACCCCAGACAGATGAGAAGAAGGACTTCCACAACTGCTTCAGAAAATGGCAAGAAGGAAGGGGCAACGGTGCTCACAGTGAGAGGTGTTGAGGGGACTGACGGTAGGTCATCTTTACTGTAGCAAACTTGTTTACTGCATACTTTGATCACTACTTGTACATTTTATTAAGGCTTACACTAATACAAACCAAGACAGTGTTAATTACCTAAACTAAACCTATCTTATCGTGGGTACTTAACAATAGAATGATTATTGAATACTTTCACACGTATGCAGGTCACGTAAATACGTCATTCAGCTTTGTGCATACTCAGAAGTAGTGACCTGTTCAAAGGTCATGCCTCAGGCCACAGCTGCGCCACGCAGGAAGTGGTGTGGAGAGGGCACTGGGCGCGGCCCATGCTCAGGGCCGTGGAGAGGCCCACAGTGAGTGCACATCAGGTGGCTCCCAGACCTGGGGCTGGGCGTGACCTGTCTGAGGGACAGTGGCATCCGCGGCTCTGCCAGCAAGGCCACGGCTCCGAGGGCAGCGGGCACACAGGGGTGGCTGACGAGCCTCCCTCCCGTCCACAGCACCTCGGATCAGGCCCTCGCTACGCCGTGTGCTGAGCACCTTCGCAGGGGACACCCGGAGGAAGGTTCGAATGCCATGCAGCGCTGCTGACCTGGTCACGGAGCGCGAGTCCACTGAATCACCACATTGTTCTTGGAAGTACTGTGCCTCTAAGGACTACTTTTTCCACCAGTTAGCTGTAAATACAGCAGAATCACTTAGAACCGATGCCTTCTGCTCCGTGAAAGGGACCTTATTACATGGTCCTGGCGGGTGGGGTGATAAAAAACCCATGTGCTCTTCGGGACCTCACACAAAGCTGTGGGAAACCATGCAGCAGCGCCTCTGTTTTCTGAAGTCAGACTGTCTAGCAGAAAATAAAATGCTAGGGATTTGCTTATCCTTTTTATTATTTTCCATTATTTCATAAAAGAACAATGTAAATATGAGAAAAGACCTTAGGGAACTGGAACTGAATCCCCAGTATGGCTTGCAGTGCCAGGACCAGGAGGGGGAGGAAGGGCGCCGGCATGAAGCAGCCTGACTCAGGCACCCTAACCCTAACCCTACCTGGGCGCTTTCAACGGAGACTGAGCACGGGGCTCGGGAGGGTGAAGTCCAAGGTGTGACCCCAGCACTGAAAGAAATCAACTGTTCCTTTTTAGATATACTTCTACTTTCTTGAAATATTACCTTTAATTTATGACAACAGGGAAGACTTCTCTTAATATAGGTTAGTCACCCTTACACCACAGAACGGTACCGTGGAGGTTACCAGCGCTGCCTGGCGTCACACACACTGAATATCCCAAGCTATGTAACAACAGCTCCAAGTCCCAACCTGGTCTCCACCATCTAGTAACACTGTCAAACCACACAGCCACCAGGGAAAGGTAAGGGAAAGGATGAATGAAAATGAAGTCAGGTTTATTTCGTCACAGATTTCAAAAATAAAATGTAGTAATTATAATACAACGTACATACAAATGTTACCTTAGATAAAATGTGGCTAGAATTACACACCCACAGTAAACAAGGTATGTCCATTAAAGTACCCGTTTATATGCTTTTGAAATGTCACCAGTTCTGAGATACACAGTGTTAACAAAGGCAACACTTACCGAGTGTTTCTACTTTGCTAATCACTGTACTGTTCATGTCCTCTGTCAGGACAGTGGTACAAAGAGCACTGCCTGCTACCTGACCCTGCTCCCTGCACAGATGAGGAGCCAAGGCCTGCTCACAGCTGCACACTAGAGAGGGAGCAGAGCCTGCGCAGCCATGAGGCCCGCGGGCTTGCATCTACATCTGCACTGTGCTTCATGGGAACGGAAGGAAGGCAGGGCCTGCCTGCAGTCTGTCCATCACAGGAGCACACGTGCCCTGGGAAGGAAGGTTCCCGCTTCCTCCTCAGCGGTGAGGGAATGCATCTGCACACACCAATTACTCCAGGTTGACTGTGTCTCCTCTGAGACTTCACGTCCTCGCGCCCATCCCACACTACAGAATGCAACCCTGCTTGGACACAGGGCAGTGCAGATGCACTTAGGTAAACTGAGGTCATGCTGGAGCAGGCCGAGCCCGGGTCTCCTTACCTGGGGACACCGTGAAGACAAGCAGAGGCTGAAACTATGGGCCAAGCGTGGAGGAAGGCTACGAGCGGCAGGAGAAGGGAGGGGAGGGTCCTGCAGGGGTGCGAGGAGGGAGGACAGCCCTGCCTGCGCTGCCTTTTAGGCTTCCAGCTCCGGAACTAGAACACAGTCCTGCTGTGTGCGTACACCTTGTTAGAGTGGCATGTGAATGAACACACTACCGTACACACACGGTGTTTAGGAAGCTTGCAGCAAAGTGGCCAATGGTGCTTTCTTTCCTGGGGTCAGCGTACAGTACAAGCAGCAATCACCTCCACACTCAACAGCGCCTCCCTGGTCTCCCTGAGCCTGCCTTGGGCGGCGCTGAGCTCGCTCTGCAGCCTCTCCTGGGAGTCCTGGAGACCGGAGATGAGGCCCTCGGCTGAGCCCAGGCCCTGCTCCCTCTTCCGCACCAGGTCCTGGAGGCGGCCAACCTGCAAGGGAACAGAGCACTCAGCAGCCCGCCTGGGCCAGGCCCGGGAGGCGGCCCGCCACTGCCTCTTCCAGCTTGTTCTGCTGGTTCTAATTTTACCGAATGGATTCTTCCTTGAGGATTTTGGAAGACACAACCAAATAGTCCTGATAACCCTCCTCATCTGTTGTTTTCTAAAGGGACCTCCAAGTGTATGGTTTCCCTTCTTTAGGACAACACGGACAGAAAGGGCTATATCCCTCAAGCTCTTGGTTTAATGAGAATTCCTGGTTCTATATGAAAGATCTCTGTAAAAATGAATCGAAGCAGGATAAAGATTGACAAAACTTCAGATAACAGTATTTTAAACCATTCTTTAAAACTGTATAATTTGCATTTCACTTGAGTCCAGTTCTGCTATTTACAAAGGTGACAAAAATACACTGATGCATATGGACAAGCTGTTAAATGCACCGTGTAGGAAAAGCTATGATTTCTGTTTCCAAATAAAATCCACCTCATGATGTCTTTAAAGAACTTAATGGGCTCTAGACACTAGGAGCAAAAGAACAGTCCACAGTACCGCTTAGCCATACCCTTACCTTCTATTTGTAAGAACAGAAATCTATAGGTGAAACACCTTAAATTATCTAGGAAAATACTATTACATATTTCATTTTTAAAAAACACCAAGCTTGTGAAAGTTCTACAAAATTAAAATCAACAACTTAAAATAATACCTGGTATTTCTCCTTGTAAACACAGATACCACAAAGAAAACCACGAAAATTTTTCATACATGTATGTACATGTATGTGTGCTGAGAAATTATGGGGATTGTCTGTGTATCCTTTTAATGTCTCGAAGTTCATAAAATGATTTGAACAGCTTCCCATTTTTTTCTATGCTTTTGTTTTCATAGCAAAATAATTACCTGTTTCTTGACAGTTTTGTAAAAGTCTCCCATTAAATCCTCTGGGCCTTGTGGGGTTGTAATTGGTTTGGCTGAGCTATTCAACTACTTTGAGTCATTTTAAAACTTGAAAATTTTATAGAAAGACACCTGTTTTCCTACTTTAAAAATTACTGGCATATTCACACACAGCACTCACTTCTGGTATTTTAAAATTGCGAGGCTGGGGATTTAGCTCAGCAGCACAGCACCCACCTGGCAAGTGCGAGGTCATGAGTTCGATTCCTGGTACCGGGAAAAAAAACAACTACAATTGCATCCGTCACTATTCCAAGGTCCCCCTTTCTCTCTACCCTTACTCATGTCTTCCCTACTATTTGTACCGCTCTGTGTCGCCACAAATGTGCACCACAGCAGGGAACGAATGCTTGTGTGGACAGCAGCTTCAGCAGAGCTGGAGAAGCACAGGATCTTCTTTCCAGTCCGGGCTCTGTCACTATAAGATGGCAGTTACTGGCCTATACAGTCTGGATATGCAGGAAAAATTGTTTAACTAGAAAAGATATCAGGTACTAATCAATAAGAAAAGAACAACCGCAATTAATCAACTAGAAAAAAAATATTCTTCCAGAAAATTTTCAGGTGAGTATGAGTTGTACGTATATATAAAACATGTAAAAAACAGCATTCCACATAAAGAATTAAGGAGAGGGTATATTAAAGAAACTAAGAATCTACTCAGAGACAGATGAGTATTTAAATGGGCAAACTCAATTTTTGCACAATAGAAAATAAAAAGTAAGTGACAAACATGACATTAAAGTTTGTTTTCTGAAATATAATAAAAACAGTATTGTGGAAAACTTCTATTGTCTCCCAATATCAAAACTTCCTTTCAGCATTTGGGGAGTCCACCCTCTTCCTTGTAGGGCCCTGTGGTCTCAGCAGGATGAAGGGGTCGATAGAAGTGTAAAACGTTTCAGTCTGTTGTCCAGCAGAATGGCTTAGGAGCAGATATGCGGATTACACTTCTCTCCTCACAGTGCTCTCAGGACTGGAAAGGAGCTCCTGCGAGCTGGTGCACACCTGATAATCCCGGCAATCTGGGAGCCTGAGGCAGGAGGATCACAAGTTTGGGCTAGCATGGGAAACTGAGTGACTGAGTGAGACCTATCTCAAAATAAAAAATAAAATGGGGTGGAGATGTAGCTTAGTGCAAAGGCCACAGGTTCAATCTGCAGTACCACAACTAGAAAAGATCTTTTTCCAGCTGCACATGCACCTAAAGAAATGTATGAACACAAAGAGAGAAAACCCAACTGAAGCGGAAGTGAGAAACGTAGTTCCAGGTCACCAAGTCAGTGCTGAACACAGTCATGCTGATCCTGACACTATGCTTGGACACTTCAGTCACAGGTGTCAGCTAGTCTGAGATGGAACCCTGTCATGTGCAGTAGGACACAATACTCAGATTACTGTTAACGGCCCCTGCAGGAACACGGTGAGCAGAATCCCGTCCCCAGGAGGCCCACTCCTCCCTGCCCGAGTCTGTCCTTCTTGGTCTGTCCTTGCAACACCCAAGCTCGTCCTGGGCGCTTTCACAGGAACAGGAGGCGAGCCCCTCCCTCGGGCAAGCGGCCCCAGCTGTGCACAGAGGGCTTCCCACCCCACGCCAGCCTGCCTATCATTCAACCCCCGTAGGGCTCCGAGACCCTGCTCAGCTCGGCAGCCTTCCCTCCCTGGGAGGGAGCAGGGCACTATGGCTAAGAATTCAGCCCAGAAATCCCCTCCCAGATTCAGACTCTGTCTTTACCTACTTACTGGGCATGTAAAGTACTGTGAGACCTGAAGGACAGCAAAGTATAAAGGATAAACGGTAAAAGCACAGAGCACAGCAGGCCTGGATACACAGCTCCGCCCATCTACAGGCACTCGTGCAACCCCGGGGCTCCACGGGCCCAGGCCGTTCTCTAAGCCTTCCTGGCCACACCTGCCCCCTTCACAACTCCTGCAGACGCATAAACACCCGCTCCTGGCTCTCTTCGGGACAGCTGTGCCTAGCACAGACACGGAGTACCTAACAGCCACGCAATACTTGGTGAATAAAGTAATGCGTCACTTACCAAGAAAAGCTCGGAAACGTACTGGCAAGGAAGAATGAAAATCTCCTCACCGTCTCCTTCGTCCATGCGGGCCCCAACACCATCCCTCTGCTGACCTGTGCTGCAGCAGGGCAGCCCTGAGCCCCGCTGCAGGCCCCGACCTGGGCATGGTACACCCGACACTCACAGAGAAGAGTGACGCTTCTGTGCATGTGAGATGCCTTTTCTTCCAGGCAGACTCGGCTCTGTGGAAGTTTAAACTGCTCTGAATGTCCACACTCTAAAGCGTGCTGAAATGTTCTCAGTGACCCTTATCGTTTGCTTGTGTTAAATACACACAGTTGCTGAGTCGAAGGACTTGCCGGCTCAGACTCCTGTATGCTGCCTCTTTCCTTTTCAGGAATGCTGTGCCCCCAGCAGCAACTTCTGACTACCTCCTCCTTTACCTTCGTCAACTGTGGGGACTCACTCAGTTTCGATCCTTGTTAATTTTCTGGTAACGGAATGGCAGGCAGCTCAGTGATTTCTAGTTCTTAAGTGAGAGCGAGGTTGACATTGCTTTCTCATGTCCTTCTCTAGCCTGTGCGAACAAACTGGGATGCTTGTCTCTTTCTTACTGTTCTGAAAACATGCTTACAGCCTCAAAGATATGAATGCTCTGTTAGTCAGCAAATTCATCAAGCACCCCATCCCTCCCAACTGTTTCCCTGGTTTAATTCTGCTTATGGTATGTTTTGATCTATACAAGCTGTAACAAGTTTACAGATGCTCTGTGATTTTTAATCAACATTTTGGTGTCATTTTCAAAAGGCTTTCTTTGTCCCAAGGCATTCCATTTGTATTTTATTTTATTTGTATCCATACACATGATTTCACATTGCGTTTCAATTCTCTGCACAGTTTTTGGACACGGAGGCTGGAAAGCAGATCTAACTTCCGTCCTCGCCTCTTTCATTCACACATTGCCTCCAGAGGGCAGCGCCATCACTACTGAGATGAAGCCCACTAAGCCTCACTTCGGCTTCTCTACTGGAACTGGAAGGTCAGCAGAGGACTCCTGCCTGCACAGCCAAGCACCGGCTACCCTCCGCTCAGCTCACACCATCGCAGCCTGGATGCTGAGGAACCCACATATCCAAACAACTCGAGGTCTTGCCATTGCCATGTATTTTTCTCCTGTGATTCCTCCCGTTCAGTAGTGCTATCCTTATCTGTCCAAGTGCCTGAGCTGGATACCACAGTTATTTTCTCTCATTCCCTACATAAAGTCCTATACATTATATTCTTTTTAACAATCTTCATTCCCAGTATCACTTCCAAGTCAGAATGCAAACAGTTTCTTGCCTGGACTAATGTGCTAGCATCTTACGTCGTCTGTCTACTCTAATAATCCTCCTAGCGCAACACAGTCCCTTTCTAAGCAGAGCATGTGATGGTGTCATCAAGATCAAGTCCAAAGCTGTTACAGCACAAGAGCCCCTCACCATTTGGCTTCCACATCCTCCAACTACACGTCCTGTCAAGCCGCAAGTGCCCCTCAAGGACATCCGGAAGTATCTGGAGATGAGCAGGGGGCGTATACCACTGGTACTGCGCAGGGGGAGGTAAGGATACTAGGACACAGCCTGAACAATCAGCCAGCCCGAAACTGGCGCGTGTACTGAGGAACAGAAACCCCCACACAGCGATCCAGAGCTTTCTACTGCTCATCCGACGTGGAACTTGTTTACTAGTATGACTGCACTTATGCTAGTCCTCAAGCCCGTATTACTTCCGTCATGTCTACAGCAGGTAAATTGATACCTATCTTTCAAGGACCAGCTCCCACATCCTATTTCTGAATTCTCCTGTGTCACACAGCATCACTTCATGACATATCATACCGTGTTCTTCAGAGCTTTTATGAACCCTATGGACAGAGAATCACTCCTTCCTCCAGACTGTACAAAGGCATTTGGCATCAAGTCCTAACAGCCACCAAGGACTATGAGTTTCCTGATACCTTGCTAACAGTGTTCTCCCATCTTGAAAGTGACACAAAGTCAAGAGCTGCTTCGTACAGAAGTATGCAAACACTACTGATATCACTGGAACCTACTTCCAATTTTTCTGGAGACAAATCTAGTAATAAGCAGTAAGGCTACAAAATCCATTCGTACCCTCTGGCCATGTAACTTCATTTATAGGGAAGAACTAGATGCAAACAAAATACTTTTTAAAAAATGGGGCTGGGGATATAGCTCAGTGGCATAAGTGCCTGCTTGGCAAGTACAAGGTCATGAGTTCCATCCCCAGTACCAAAAATTTAAAAAAAAAAAATTAAAAATAAATAAATAAATAAATAATTTTAAAATGAACAAAAATATTTACACCCTGGAAATTTATCCATTTCCCAGGAAGAACCCCATCCTAGTGAGCAGGGTTGAGCAGGAACCTCTGCAATTCTCCTGCCTCACTCAGGCTCCCGAGAGCTGGGGTTACAGGCTTGTGCCACCATGCCTGGCTTACGAACCCCCATTTCTAACCAGAATGGCTGTGAGAGAAAAAATAATTTTAACCTCACACAAGTCTCCTGGAAAGCAGAAGAAAGTGTGTGTCCTCTTACCTGTATGAGGCTAATATAACCTTCACCTGCAAAGCCAGAAGAGACAGAATGAAGGAAAAACACAAGGCAAGCTCACTCAAACTCAGGCTCAAGAATGACGAGAAGGTATCAGCAAACTGAATCTAACATTATATGAAAAAGGTCACACACGTAACTAGGACCTGTTCTAGAAGTTCAAGATTGATTCAGTATCAGAAAGTTGATTAATACAAGGTACCACATTAACAAATCAAAGGGAAAAAGTATCTTAATAGATGCAAAAGGCTGAACATCTCCTCATAATTTTTTAAAGCGAGGAAGTTAAAAGAATTCCCCTGACCTGTAGAGAGTGCGTACAAAACAGAGCTCCAGAGAAGCATCCGATTCACTGGCTGGTGTTAGTTTACTTCCCCTGAAGAGGGGAAGGGAGAGGAGAATGCTTCCGACCTCTGGAGGTCGAGTCAGCACAGACTAGAGGAGAGGTGTCCCAAACTGAAGGGATACTCCGGCGGCTTCACGGGGAGCCACTCTCCACAGCAGGGCTCTGAGACAACTGAAGAGTTGGCCAGAAGGCACCCGCACCTCGTTCCCAGCACTCTCCCCAGTGCAACGCGCCGTGCAGGCTGCAGGGGCGCTTAGGTCAAGCATCTAGAGAGACTCCGGAGGCGGTCACACAGGACCGCGGTTCTGTGCGCGGCATGCATGTCTGAAGCCCGGGCTCGCCCTGGACAGCCGGACAGGCTGGGCCAGGATCAGGGACGGCTTACTCCTCACCCCTCCCGGGAAGGGCACTCGCCGCTCTGCGAGCATCTCTGAAAGCATCTCGGAACACTGAGCGCAAAGGCTCGGCTCGCCCAGCGGCAGCGGCACTTCTTGGTGTGGCTTCCTTGGGCAAAAGCAGTGCTGAGGACCAGGACGTGCAGGCAGGAAAGCTGACAAGACAGGAAGTTTCAAGCCAAGAACTGAGTTTAAGGAAGACGCCCAGGCAGCCACCGGAAGGACAAGCCTGAAGCAAAGGGGACTCAGAGAGGAGAAGCATGGAGCTTACCTGGCACACAGCCTCGACCAGGGCAGGCGGGAAAGGCACACAAGCACATGGGCAACACGGTTTTAAAATTAAAAAGCCCGCAGCCAGGCGTGGTGGTGTACGCCTGTAATCCCAGCACTGGGGAGGCTGAGGCAGGAGGATCGTTGGAAGTTCGAGACCAGCCTGGACTACAAAGTGAGCTCAAGGCCAGCCTGAACCACATAGCAAGACCCTGTCTCAGACAAAAAGACAAAAAAAATAAAAAATAAAAAGCCCCTGTATGTACTTCAGTCACAAAGTTTTGAGTTACAATATTCTTAAACTTTTCTTTTCCAAGCTAAATATTTTCATTATAATTTAAAATTTATTTATTTATTTTTTGTCTTTTTGAGACAGGGTCTCGCTATCAGTTTAGGCTGGCCTTGAACTCATGTTGTAGCCCACGCTGGCCTCGAACTCACAACAATCCTCCTGCTTCAGCCTCCCAAGTACTAGGATTACAGGTGTGCGCCACCACGCCCAGCTAAAATTTATTTTAGATGGCACTATCTAGAACTTACTGTTCCTCTTTTTAAAAAGGAGACAAGCTGGGCGTGGTGGCACATGCCTATAATCCCAGTACTAGGGAGACAAGACCAGCTTGGGCTACATAAGCAAGTTCAAGGCCAGCCTACACTATCTCATGAGAACCTGTCTAAAAAAACCCAAAAACCAAAAAGAGAGAGACCAAGTATACAAAAGACAACACTAATGTTTTACAAAGAGCCAAGATAGCTTCTCTGTTTCTTTCCAGTAAGGTGATATTTTCTGCTTTGCTTTTCCCACAAGAACATCTTGGTTTAATGTTTTTGGTGGTAAATTTTACCTTCTGGGATATAAACAAACTGTTATGAAAAACGTCGCATCAACCCAAGTGCCCCTGTGCCTTCTGCTCTGCACTGAGGCTCACCAGCCCCCGCAGTGCCACAGGAGAAGCTCCTGGACCACAAGCCTCACGCAGGTAAGAGGCCCGAGAGCTCTTGCCTCTTGAGCGGCCGTGCTCAGCTTGGCTTCCAGCTCTTCCTTCAGGTCTTCCAGCTCCCGCTGAAGCTGATTCTTATCCTCTTCCAGGGCCAGTTTCTCCTTTTTATACTGTTCCTCCAATTCCTCAAAAAAAAAGAATTTTAAAAAATTAACAGGATTGCAGATATTATATAATTCAGAGACTGGAAAAAGAGCCTTCCTTACACTCAATAACACAACTTAAGAGTGACTCTACTCCATCCTAGTGGCTTGGACACTAACATGATGAATCACTTGTATGATGTAACTATTACATAACTGCTTTAAATGGTGAGAAGACGTGACTGGTCTAGATCATGCTACAGTCAAAATACTACACAATAATACCTCGGTTCATGAATGCTTCTGTTTGCAAAGAATTCGATTTGCAAACAAAGAGTTCCGCAAAATTTTGCTTCTGTTCACAAACCCCACATAGAGCGACAAACACGACCACAGCCATCTTCTCCACACAAACACAAATGTAGCAGTCCTCCCCAAATCATAAAACAAATTAAGTTTATAAATCAAGGTACCACGCTACAGAAAAGAGAGATGTAAATAATTTGGTGAGATAAAGAAAACATTCTAATTCTTCTATATTTACATAGAAAATGAAATCCAGTAACACTTCTGGAATTCAGTTGTCTAATACCGAAACGTAGCAGAAAATTCACAAATAAAAATTAAGGCAACTGAATTGTGTTACCAGTAAAATCAATGTTTCCTGAATCTCATTTACTGTTTGCCAAGTGTCCTGCCTAACAGTTGAGATGAGCTGGGCATGGTGGTGCAGGCCTGTAATCCCAGCACTTGGGAGGCTGAGGCAGGAGGAAGATTGCTGCAAGTTTGAGACCAGCCTGGGCTACAAAATGAGCTCAAGGCCAGTCTAAATGGCATGGTAAGACCCTGTCTCAAAAAGACAATAAAAAAAAAATTCTAACAGCTGGGATGCAAAGACAGTAAGATACCCTGTCGGTCCCTGACGTCAAGTAACTGAAGGGTGTTCACTACGATGAGACCCTGCTCAATGGCAGGGAACACATGAGCAGGCAGTGTAAGGTCGAGCTCCGCAGGGAAGCCCTCAGGGAAAGGAGCTGCTACGTCTGCTCACAAGGTCTGCACTAGGGAGAGAGGGAGTACAGCAGCGGGAGCACAGCAGCAGGTGGAGGAAGCAGCACGCAGTGTCCCGGGCAGCTCCGTGTTTCTACACAAGCTGAGTGGAGCGGTAAGTGGGGTCCGTGCCGGGCGGGTCCCATGAAAAGCCAGCTCTGGGGATGCACAAGGAGCAGTCAGGACGGCCCAGCACACAGCCACACTCAGAAAGCACGCAAAGCAGTCAGCAGGGATGGAGCACAAGCTAAAGGCTACAGATCAGGCATCAGTCCAAAACCCCTGCACACAGGACATACTCATTCCTACAGCACTGGTGCCCACTGGGTGAGACGCTCCCTTCCAGGAAAGCACGTGAGATGCGGTGCCCCGGGCACAAGGGCCCCCGCTTCCTGGCGGACTCCCAAAATGACCTCCAGGATGCACCCTGGACCGTTTGCACAGGAGCTCAGGCACAGCAAGCCACCTCCTCAGGAAGAAGGCCCCCTGCAATCCTCGCCCTCAGGTCCAGCCCAGGGCCGACCTGCCCTCCTCAGGGCAGCAGTCTCCAGCCTGCTGCATTATCTCCTCTGCATTCACCATCAGATGGGTGAACTCGAGTTATGGTGAAAAACAGGAAACAGCAGGAAACGCAGAGACTTATTTTGAGATAGTAAGTTTGATGTTGGAGAAAGACTACTATGGAAGATTTTAGCTCAGGTTCAGACAAGCTAAGCAGGCAAGAAGGGAATGAAACAAGTGGGAAAAGGGTTTAACAGGTAAAAGCCCAGGGTACTATTGGGCAGATGTGACCATGTTCACATACAGGACACCAAGGCAGCTCTCCACGGCAACCATATTCTGAAGAGAAATTTTAAGAAATACGTGTGGGCTAGGAGGCTTTTAGGTGGCTTGAAAATTAAAATTTAGTGCGGTGAAGGGATGATTTGGAGTAACGAGGCAAAAATGATACTGGTGAAAGAAAGACACCTTGATTGTCGCACTCAGAACTTAACCTAAAGAAATAGAGGAAGGCTAAAAGTAGGGTACCTGCAACAGGGCACCAGTCCCGGTACAAACAAGGCCGAGCTAAAAGCGGGACGTAGACATAAAAACAGCAACAAAGGACAGGCAGGAAGAAGCGGCAGTTACTGTCCGCGGCCTCATCTGTGAGCCTGGACACGGGACACCTGCCTCCAAGGCACCACAGAGCGAGCGCAGCGCCGCCTGGACCCGGACTGGCCTGGCTCAGTGGGAATGAGCACCACAGTCCTGAGAAACGCTGTGCCGTTCACAGGAGCACTTATGCTGAGTTCAGAACAGACTGACCTTTGGACAGTCTCGCCGGGATTTTATTACATTTATTTTCCCAACTAGCTGTGTCACAAAGGGAAGGAACAGTGAGACACTGGTATCACGTCCTGTCGCCTCTGTCAGGCTTGTGGTCCTCGGTGAACCTTGTAAGTCTGAAGGTTTATTAAGCCTACTTCACCACCACAGAATAAACTGTTCCTCGTGTGCACGTCATCAACGCGAAGCACGCAGCGCAAGGAGCGCCCTGTAACCGGCGGGTGTTAGCGAGTGAGCCGAAGCATGTTGCAGAGGCATCACTGACACCTGCTCACAGCGTTCACCTGCCTTAGGCGCTGACAGAGCTGAGCCTTAAGCTCAGGGTCTGGCCGGCTTTACAAGCTGCACGGGACTGAGCACAGCCTGTCTTCAGTAAAACGGGCCTCGAAATCAAATCTGTGGTCCTGTCTAAATGGGGGAGAAGGCATCGGTGTGGACCATTTGGGCGGTGCCAGCCCTGCGGTAAGAAACGCCAGTAACTGACATCTCTTCACAGCACTTCCTCTCACACACAGGAGCAGGCGAAGGTGGATCTCGGGCTGCAGTCAGGAGGCCAGGGCTGCCACGCGGCACTCCCTGTGGAACATACTCAAAACAGCTCCTAGGGAAGAAAACTTTTCTGGTGAGAACGGGTGCTTCACCTGGTTGAAGCTTCCTGAGCAGCACCCCTGCTAGGCCGACTGATGGCTGCCACTGAGTACCACGCCGTGGCAGGGACTCTCGCATACACAGCTGTCTGACCGTGGCTTCCACAGCAGCTACAAGACAGGCGCCCCCCACAGAAGCAAACCCCGTCTCCAGAGGGCAGACCGCGCCCACGCTTGCCGACAGCGCATCGCGGCAGGGAGGAGCAGCAGGCTTACTCACCACTTGCAGCGTCCTCCTGTCTCGAGCCGCGCTGCTGTGCACGGCCTCCACTTCCACGTGGTGCTTCCGGGCTAACTCCTCCAGAGCCTTAGCGTGGGCTTCATGTAATCGAGCCACCTCCCCTTCCAACCTGCTCTGCAGGGTTTTAAGCTCCGTCTCATAATGTTCTTGCTGAGTTCTCTTTGCTTCATTTACTTTCTTAAATTAAAACAAATAATTATTGGCACCCGCTTTCCTCACGACCACTGCTCGTACTTGAACACCCTGCAAATATGCAAGCATGAGTGAAGTGAGTGCCACGAGACCTAGACTCTGAAACACAGAAACACACCACGGATCTTCCCAAGAATAGCAAGGCAGACCCAAAATAAAACACTTCAAACCTAGAAATGGACTAACCGGTTAAAACCCAGTGTGAGTGAGCCCATCTGCAAGCTTAAAGAAGACAGACCGCCGGTATTCGGGAACAGCACACAACATGGCTCAGCGTTCATCACTCAAGTGACACTGCCCAGTGCAATTCTGGGTGCCAACTATGTACCTTTTAAGCGTCCACAGACTGGTGATGGAAAAACTCAAAAGGCAGTGGCAATGCAGTCTTACGAGTTTCAAGAAAGAGGCGTCCACCCTGTGTCCGAGAGACCATAGGAGGGGAGCTAACCAGACAGGGTTGGAAGCTGTGCGCAGGGTGGGAAAGTCCTGAGCTGCTAATCACACATTCTCTCACCTCGTTCTCACAGTAAGCCCGCAAGGCAACCACACACGAGGACCTGTCAAACCGAGGCCTGCTGTCAAAAGCCTGCGTTCAGACCCAGCTTTGGGAAGGGCAGAAGGAGCTAACCAGCTAAACTCCCTCCAAGCTTAGGGAGGCTGGAAGTTCACATGGCCACGGGGCATAGGCTACAGGGGCCTCAGCACAAGCAGGGCTGGCCTGTGAGAGAAGTGGTCTTTTATATTGAGGACGTTCAATGCTTTCTGAAGGGAATGAGAAGTCACTGCAACTGAAGTAACATATTTTTAAAAACAGTGTGGCAGGCCAGTGAGCTGACTGAAGGCCAGGAGAGCAGTTAGGAGGCTAAAACTGTAAGCCCAGGGAGCAACGGCAGACCTGCAAATGGGTACAAAGGTGGGAGGATGGAATCAGAGTACGCAAAGGACCAGAACTCACGGGGCTCAGCAACAGGGAAGGGAGCTGACAAAACAGCAACCAGGAGTAATTCCTGGTGTCGATTGAAACGAGAAGTGGAAGAGGGAGAAAGTTTTGAGCATGCTGACGGTCAAGTGTTTACTTCCAGTGGAAAGTTAGCTCTGCCTTAGACCTACAGATCCGGGAAGCAGCACTACAGCAGACCCCCTTGACGGTACTGGAATGGACAACAACAGGGGTCAGACTAAACCCTGCCATCACCCGTGGTAAAGGACCTGCTGGAGAGGGAATGTTCAAACAAGGTTTTGCGACCAGGAAGGTGTGAGGCAAACAGGAGGGAATGTGGCGCCCCAGAAAAGTGAGACACCACAGCCCAGTGGGTGTGGGTGCCCAGCAAGGGAGGAGCCACCCGTCAGCAGCTGGGATGTCCCGGGGCTGAGACTGGTGCGGGTCCCAAGCACGCACCGTGGGGAAAGAAGACCGCGCCAGGCTGAGGACCAGAGGAGAGTGAGCAACGGGCAGAAAAGACAGACAGCCTTCAATACACTTAGCTACTGGGGGAGGAGAAAGGAAAGGACGAGCTAAACTGCTGTTTTGTAGATACCTGGAAAACTAGAATAGTCAGCAATGGCTCTGTAAGTGCTGCCTTGTTTGTTAATCTAGAAATTCAATATGCTGCTGTATGACTACTGTATTCAGAGCTGGATGCCTGTCCTTCTTAGATTTATAAGTGTCCTAGGTGTATATGAGATAATACTCTTCATTGACTAGAGAATCAAACACGATTGGCTATAAATGCACATTCCACTGAACTAACACTTAATTCAGTTTATGGCCTGAAACAAGTTGAAATGTCTTCAGTTTCCACATTATAGACTACTGCCCACATACCTTGAACACGTCCACAATATGAGACCCTCTAGGTCTACACCTTCCATGGGCATGAGAAGGTGCTGCTCCGGAGCAGCGAGCAAACGCCCCGAGCGCCCCCGTCTGCAGTGAGGGAAGCCAGTCTCCCCTCCCTTCCCCTGCGGTGGCGCCCCACTGCTTTTTACCTTCTCCAGTTCCAGAATCTGCTGCTTCTGCTCGTCATCCAGACTTTGAGTTCTGCTTTGCAAGAAAGCTCTTTCCTCTTCAAGCTGAGATAATCTCTCATGGGCCCTTGATTTTTCTGATTCTAAATCTTTAATTGTAACCTCCTGGGTCATTTGAGTTGCTTGAAGCATTCCAATATGACCTACCCCCCCAAAGAAAACCCTTTTAACTGCAGAATCAGTTGCACCAGGATATCAAACAGTTTATCTTCAACTACATAACTGTCCTTTATACATATGTACAATAAGTGGTCTCTATGTACACATTTTTCTTTGGTTTTCTCCTTGTATAAAATGGACATATTTATACAAGGGACTACTTATCCATGGGACTACTTCTTATCCAACTATAATAATTTAAACTAGAAAGTCCATTTCACTTTGTGGATGCTCCCCAGACCATTCTGCCTTTTTTTAAAAACTGTAAGAAATACAAATTGAAGTAAGAGCAGCTCCTCAGTGGTCTCTAAATTCCACTGGGAGTAAACCAAGAGACTGATGCTAAGGTAAGGCACTGGCTGATGCTACACAGCAAAAGTGAGCAATTCATTCATTTTTAATGTTCTTTTAATCTTAACAGAGAGAATTTCTACGTGCAGGGAACAAAGGTGGTAGACAGCAGTTCAGGCAAAACCTAATCTGATTTAGACAAGAGAACGGTAATAGGTGAGGACAGCAAGGCTATGAGTGAATAAAGAAAACGGCAGCAGAAACGGGAGGGGTTAAGACAGAGGGAAATGAGAGTGCGGTAGGAGACAGAGGGATGAGAGGCGAGTGGGCGGACAGTGTCTCACAGGCTCAAAGCAGGGTCCCAGTGCCCGGAGAACTCTGTTAGAAATGTGGCCATCCCAGACTCCGGTCAGAAACTCTGGGACGGGGCCCACACAGCCTCCAGGGGGTGCCCACGGGAGCTGAAGGTCCCAGCTCTGTGGGAAGGGACAGCAGCACCTCCCCAGTGAGCCCAGCAAATTCAGAGGAGGGTCCTAACATGAGCTGGGTGCCCCAGGCCCTCAGTGGAGACCCAAGTCCAGAACCTATCCTGTGTGGGCAGCCCCTCCTCTAGTGAGGACATGCAAGAGCATCGGCCACCTCAGAACCGAAACGCAGCTCTAGGGTGCAGAACAAGCCTTAGTAACAAGCCCCACTGCATGCCACACACCGTTCAACCAACTTAAATGCTATAAAATACATGGTTTTAAAGGACAACGCCCCCCAGGAACACTGTTTCACTTCATTGGTGTTTTATCTAATTCTTATTTTTTTTATGAAAATGTATTCCTACAAATAAAAAAATAAGTCATTATTTGCTTCTTCTGGTTAATTAGTAAGATATTACAGTTCTTTAGCATATTTATAGTCCAAATGCTTTTTGGGGAAATGGGAGTTGAACTTGCTATGTAGCTCCAAGCTGGCCTGGAGCTGCTGATCCTCCTGCCTCAGCCTGCTAAGTGCTAGGATTACAGGTTTGCACCGTCACACCTGGCTACAGCCCAAACAATTTTAAAATAGCAAATAATTTTAAGTTAGGCCTGGGGCATGATGGCACAGATGAGGAGAGGCTGAGGCAGGAGGACTGCTATGAGCCCGAGGCCAGTCGGCTACAAAGGGATTTTGAGGCAGCCTAAACTGCATAGTGAAACCCTGTCTCAAAAAGACGAAAAAAAAGGGAGAGAGAGAGAGAAAGAAACTCAACACTTAAACTTTGTCTGGAATGAACTTGGGAGTGCTGGTTTTAGCTGGGCATTACACCACACACTGTGGGCAGACATACTAGCTTTGAGGACTAGGTCTGATGCTTGCTGTTGTAAACGTTCTCTGGCCGCTGCTAGCTCACTTTCCACTTCTTTGTGCTTGCTTAATAAGGCCATCTCTCCCTCTTTGGCATCATCAAGCTGTTTTTGAAGAACCTGAGAAAGATTAAATAGCCACTGTTAAAATGCAAGAATGACAGGATGCTAAATAATTTGAGTTATAAGCATCAGTTGCATCCTATTGAGAAGTCCTACTTAACTATAATGTTGTACTTGCTAAGCACTGCTGATACTTGATACTATCTTCACACGTCACACAAGCTAATCAGGAAACTACTCCACCACCCTTTCTACTCTAATATCCTACAGATATTTAACACATAGCTAGGAAAAGTTCTATGCCAATAAAACAGAACTTCTACAGGCTTTTCACTTTTTTCAGACTTGTGCCATGCCTTTATTAAATTTAGGTATAAAAAGCAATCAATTTTTGCTTGATGTCTAAATATGTTTAATGGGCAGATCCCTATTATTAAAGAAAAAACCATAATTAACCCCTAAGCCCAATATTTTAACTCCCCCAAATCCTTACAGAAAACATCAGTGTGTTATTCAACTAAAATCCTTTCCTTTGGAAGGGCTTTTGGGCCTTTAGTATCTCAAATTCTGATAACAGGTATAGGGTAATAAAAATTACCCTTCATTGATTTTTCTCATACAAAAAAAGGCAAAAATAGGGGTGGGGATGTTAAGTGGTAGGAACCAAAAGAAGGGACCCTAAGCCAGCCAAGCTGCCCTGCAGTCGAGGAGCTGAGCACACTGAGAAGGAGTGGAAGAAACCCCTGGGCAGCCACGCCTGACCCACCTGGGCATTGCTCTCTGCCGTGGCAAGTGCTGTCTGAAGCCGCTGGCATTTGTCAAGAAGGCTGCTGGCTTCATCCTGGACCATCTGTAACTCTGTCTTTAATTTTCCTATGGTTTTTCGTAAAATTGCTTCCTGTCCCTGAAATTCTTTTCGAAGATCAGCTTCCTTTTCTTTGCTAGCCTGCAGGCTTTCTGCTGTAAAAAGCTGTGACCTTTTCAAAGTATCAAGCTCACGCTCATAAAAGCACTGCGCTTTATTCAACTTGCCTTCATACTCCTCGATGAGCTTTTTCTTTTCAAGTCTGAGCTCCTCCAGGCTTCTGCTTAAGGCCTCCACCTCCCTCCTGTGCAGCTCCTCTGCCTTCTCCTGCCCTTTGCTCATGGAGGCACTGTGATCCTGCTGCGATTTCAACAGCTCCTGCATCTCCCGGCGGTGAGCAGTCCGCAGATCTTCCAGAGCCAACCGTTTGTCTTTCTCAAACTGCGCCTGGAGCTGTCCAAAGCTCCGTAATCTTTCTTCGAATTTCCTTCTGATCTCCTCAACCTCTCTGGACATGGTGACTACGCGCTGGATGTGCTGGGCTTCTGCGCAAAGCTGCATGTCCTCGACTCTGTGCTTGTAGGCTTCAAATTCTGTCAAAGCCTGCTGCTTCATTTTTATGTGATCTTCCAAGGACGCTTCTAAAACTTGGATCTTCCTCTTCAGGTCTAGCTCCTCTGTTACTTTACTTTTATACTGCAGTATTTTTTCTCTTGTTTCTGCAAGAATTTGTTGGATTTCTTCTTCATGCGCATCTTTGAGGGCTTGAATTGCAGATTCATGCTCATCATTTTTAGTGTTCAAAGCATATATTACCTGCATGGTTTTGAAGAAGGGAGAAGAATTGAATAAACCATATTTGCTTACAACTTGAAGTTAATTCTTTCATTTAGATTGGTATTTTTCTATGCACATAATATTGGTTATGACAGATTTCAAATATGAAGCTTCATGTAGTTATTTTGTACTTAGACTGATTTGTTTAGCAAATTTCTATTTTAGCACAAGCTTTTAAATTATGGTTTTAAAACATTCAAAATTAAGAATGTTGTATGACAAACAAAACAGAGAGAAGGAAAGGGGACACACGAGGCCACCTGGCCAGAGAGAGATGCGGTCCCTGCATGGCCCACACTAGTTCCCTGACCAAGTGATCAGGAAAAGTTTTCACAGTCAGTTGTGGCCCTGCACCGTGTCCTGGAGATGAGAGACTTCGCCTGAGCCAAAGCCCTGCCCTTATATCTTCCCCAAAGTCTCCTAGCAGTGTAATTTCTGTTTAAATACTTTAAATTTAAAATTTTCCTTTTCTAATTCCCCTATGGTTTGCTTTCTTTTTTAAGTGTTTAGAATTGTTTAAAATAATGAACAAATTCTGCTGTGCTCTAAACAAAAAAGTGACTGAAAACGTCTCTTGTACTTTTTAGGAAGTCAAATTCTAATGGAATTTGTCCCACCTGGGCCGGTACCTCTGGGCTCCACAGGACACCAGGGACCAGTGGAGATCCAGACGGGAGGCCCAGACCCTTGGGGAAGAGCTTTCTTGCAAAGCAGAACTCGAAGTCTGGAAGAAGAGCAGAAGCAGCAGATTCCGGAACTGGTGAAGGTAAAAAGCAATGGGGTGCCCACCCCAAGAGAAAGGACGAGGGTTCCCTCCTTCCTCCACCGCGCCCCTGTGTCTTGGAGCAAGCGTCCTGTCAGCACCAGCGGGGCCTCTGCACCGGTCTGGGCCTGGTTCTGGCCACTGCTCCGCGGGCTCCTGCGTAGCTGGCCCACCCACTCACACTCAGTCTGCGCTTGGCTTTCACAGCTGATCTTCTCCTGCTCCAGCTTGTGGTCCCCTTGCCAAACCCAGCCAGCACTTTTCCCGTGTCAACTGCTGTGGTTTACTCACTGCCTGATTTCTGACTTTACCCAAGGGAGCCTGACTCCTAGAACCCCAAGCTAGAGGACAGGTCTTTGTTTCCATCTCAGTCCTTGGGTTTTAGAAATCTCCTGAGGTCTCCCCAACCTTAATTTCACATGACACCATATTCCCTGTATAGTAACACGCTCATTCTTCCCGACGGCCTTTGACGCCTTCTGTCAAATCGCTGTGCTCAAACAGTGTGACATTACTAAAACCTTAGGGATGTGCCTACTTTCTCCCGCTTGAGGTAAAAAGAACAGAATACTACACAACAATCCAGAAGCTAAAAACCGGTGTCCTGCAGATCTGCTCATGCAGCGTGGCCTCTCTCTGGCTTTAGAATGAATTCCAGCACCAGGTACCAGAAACTGGTGAAACAAGTAGGATGTAGGGGCTGGGGATTTAGCTCAGCGGCAAAGCGCCTGCCTGGCAAGCGCAAGGTCGTGAGTTCGGTTCCTGGTACCGGAGAAAAACCAAAACCAAAAAAAAAAAAAAAAAAACAAAAAAAACAAGTAGGATGTAAAAGCACTGTGATTTCTGTGAAGTTATTCATGCAGTGTGGGGCAGTTCAGATGGACTAGCTGGCTCACCAGAGGTCCTGGCAGCTCCCGACCCTACCTGCTACAGGCTGTTGTCTTCCCGGCCTACAGCTACACCTACAGGAGGGACGATACAGGAGGCCACCACTGCAGGGGCCTCCCTTCTCCACACCCGCTGCGCTTTCAGACCCAGCACCTACCCATTCACAGTGTTCACCTACTGGACTGTGACTGCTGTAAGATCCAATCATTAGAAGTAAAGAGACTGACAGGTGGCAGAAACCCATATGCTTGGGGCTGGGGATTTAGCTCAGCAGCACAGCGCCTGCCTGGCAAGCGCAAGTCATGAGTTCGATTCCCAGTACCGGAGGAAAAAAACAAACAAACAAACAAACAAGAAACCCATATGCTGCAGCTTAAATTCAAAGCATGCCCCACAGACTCCTGTACCGACATCTGCTGACCTCATCAACAGATTCATCCAATGAGTCCCCTGCTGACTGGGCTGTTAGGGGGCGGGGCCCGGCTGGAGGAAGTGGCTTACTGGGCTCTCCTTGGAAGGGTCTGTCCTCTCTGCTTCTGTCCTGCACACCCTGCTTCCTGGCTGCCATGAGCTGAACAACTTTCTTCCACCAGTCCTCTGACACAGCTTCTGCCTCAAAGCCAGCCGACCACGGGCTGAAACCTCTGAAGCCGGGAGGCGAAGTGAGCCGCGCCTCCTTTCAGCTGTGCACTCAGGTACCCCGTCCCAGCAGGGAGAGCCGGCCAGTAAGCCACTCATCTTGCAACAGCTACCACTTTTTTTTTGCATACTCCACAGAAAAATATGCACATTTGAAAGAAATACTAATTCATAGTCTATTTTTAAAAAATTCTAAATCCCAAATTATGTCCCTAATGAGCTAACCCAGGTCCCACGGAAAACCCCTTTCATGCTGTGTTTAAACCTGAAGGCAGGCTGTAATCTGAGAAAGTCAGGTGCCTTGCTATTCCTACCCCTGTGGTTGTACTTGCCTACCAAGTCATTGTCAGAAAAACCTGACAACGGTCTCTTCCCCAATCCTGTGTCATCTCCTGAGTGACAGGGCCTGGAACACAGACCCCACTTCTTCAGTCACACTTCATGTGACTACAGAACTTCCCCCCACCCACCCAGATACGGCAGATTGAACTCAGGGCCTTTACACTAAACTATGTCCCCACCTCATTGCTTATTATTATAAATGAAAAATATGACCTCACCAAGTTGCCCAGGCTGGGCTTAAATTTGTGATCCTCCTATCTCAGCCTCCTAGAATACTGACTATATGCATGAGGCACTGCACCCAGCTTGGGTTGAAAATTTATATCCTGAACTCCTTGCCCAATCTCCAACAAGGACAGAAAGGGCTGAACACTGACCTGACCAGTGGCCAAGGATTTAGTCAACCATGCCTATAAGAACCCCAGTGGGCAGTGTTTGGCAAGCTTCCAGGCTACAGGACTCCGGAGGTACAGGAGGGCATGGAAGGAAGGTCTGTGTGCCTCCCCCGAACCTTGCCTATGCATCCCTTCTGCCCACTCTTGAATCTCTGTGGTGCCCTTTTAATGGAAAGGGCAACTATGCTTCCCGAAGTCTATGAGCCACCCTAGCACATTCATGAAACCCAAGGAGGGCAGTGTGGGGCCCCAAGATCAACAGCCAGGTGGTCAGAAGCACAGGTCACAATCTGGGGCTTCAATGCCTCTGAAGTGGGTGCGGTGCTGTGGGACTAAACACTCAACCTGTGTGATCTGATGCTGTCTCCAGGGACAGAGTGGCAAAACTGAACTGAGCTACAGGACACTTGGCTGGGGCCCACTGGAGAACTGGCTCTTGGGGGGGAGAAAATGCACACACATTTCGGTGACAGAAGTGAAGTATTAAGAGTTGCACGGAGGTGAGAGCAGCAAAATACTTTCATCTATCTCAAAGAGTCATTAAGAAAAAAACAAGCCACGTGTATTGGCACATGCCTGTAATCCCAGCACTTTGGGAGGCTGAAGCAGGAGTATCTCAAGTTTAAGTCCATCTTGGGCAACTTAAATGAGACTTGGTCTCAAAGACTTAAAAAGCACTGGGGATGCAGTTCAGCATGAAGGCCCTGGGTTTAGTCCATAGCAACAGGGAAGAAACAAAAAGGAAGAAAGGAGGGAGAGAGGGATACAACAAGCCAACCAGAGAGAGGCCCATTTGCCAAAATTCTGAGAGCAAAGCTGGTATAGACTACAGGTCTTCAGCTCTGCCAGGGCAGGCCAGCACCCATCCCCATTCTGTCTTACTAATCACATGGAAGGAAAAGAGAATTCAAACTGGCGTGCTCCCAAGAGAAAAGCCAAGCCACGTCATTATCATGTGCTCCATGAAATGACCTTGAAAAAGGCCAGTCCATGGTAGGACTTATTATTTAGGGTATGAAATGGGAGAGGGAGGCAGTACTGAGCTTCCCCTGGTAAACAACTTCTTGAAATACTCTTCTTTTTAATACTTCATTTCTCTCCAGCTTTTAAAGAGGCAGTATAAGTCTTGGCTCCTTTAATAAGTCATTCATCACCACCCAAATTGATTGGGAGTCTATCTTTATATCCAGGACCTCTACTTCTTTACCATCATTCTCTCTTAAAACTTAGTCAATGATGAATTTGACTGGAGGGGTCTCAGTAACAAGGACAGAAAGATGTTTAAGGATGTTACAAGGATGTTAGAGACCCTAGAATAAACTCTAATGATATAAATGCACTGTAACACTCACATAGGTGAATGAAAAGGTAAAGTTAAAGGAGACAGAAGTACGCATGAAAGGACTGAGTTAGAATAGGACTGAAGCAAAGTCAACAAAGCATGTGACAAACAACTGAAAAGTACAGTGAGAAGCTCTATTTCATTTTAAGTTCTAACTCACTAAACTACAACTTGAGAGCCAAATATGGCTGCTGCTTCACTTTGCAATAAAGTTTTACTGCAGCACAAATAAGCCCACCTGTTTATGTACTGTACAGCTGCTCCCCACTGCAAGAGCACAGTTCACATGCTGGAGAGATCATTATTGACCCCCACTATCTTAGCCAAAATTGGCAGCCAAAAATGAAAAGAGATAAAAGATCTGAATCTGTACTAGCTTTGTCTACACTCTACACAACAGTCTAAGCATTTTTCTGCTATAACTCATACATTAATAAAATCAATCTATGACTCTAAAAGTATATAAAAGAACTATATATTCATACTGACCATACACTGATATCCTCCAGGAAAAGTAAAACTATTGAAATAGTTTTCTAAAACCTTAAAAGGGAACACTAAAAAGATGTCAAGTATAATAAATCCATACTGTTCTCACAAATACCCGTTT